CGGGGGGGGGTCCAGAGGCGGGCTACCAAGCTAGGAAAGGACTTGGAGCATGTCTCTCATGAGGAACGGCTGAGGGCTCTGGGGCTGTTCAGCCTCAAGAAGAGAAGGCTGAGGGGACACCTTATCGCTCTCTACAGCTACCTGAAAGGAGGTTGTAGCGAGGGGGGGGTCGGTCTCTTCACCCTAGTAACAAGCGACAGAACAAGGGGAAATGGCCTCAAGTTGCACCAGGGGAGGTTCAGGCTGGAGATTAGGAAGAATTTCTTTACTGAAAGGGTTGTCAGGCATCGGAACAACCTGCCCGGGGAGGTGGTGGAGTCACCATCCCTGGAGGTGTTTAAGAGATGGGTAGGTGTTGTACTTAGGGACATGGTTTAGGGGTGTTGGTAGAACAAGGACAAAGGTTGGACTCGATGATCTTGAAGGTCTCTTCCGACCAAAACTGTTCAATGATTCTAAGATTCTTATGTGTAGTCTCATTTAGAAAGACAATCCTTCTATTGATCTGTTGGCAGGGGAATCCTATCATGTGGGACATGCATTAGAGTTTTTTCAGTGTTATTTACAAAACACATCCACTCAAAGCCATGTAGATGGCAACACAAGAGTGAAAGGATCACACTGCTGTTTAATGAGAGACCTGCAGTGTGCAGTAAGTTACTGCTTATTGTTTCCTTGCTTAGGTCCCAGTCAAGACTTACCTTTACTTAATGCAAGCATTTCCTATGCTGATTTTCAAACTGAATTTATTCAAGTATTTTGACTGGCACCAAGTGCCAGTTTCAGCAGCCAGAACAGGGTACCAGTGTCCTGCTCCTTTAATTTGCCAAAGCAGGAGCTGAACACTGTGTGCCCACATCCCATCTGAACAAACCAGAACCCTGGCTTTCTTTGTGTGAGAGCTGTCTGGGACCTCTTTCCCCACTCCTATCCCTTTCTCTGCAGCATATCCCACTGTGCCAACTCAATCCTACCTCCATGAGCTTTCCAGCCTGAAGTGCCAGCTAGCACACTGCTTGTTGGAGCCTTTGCACAGCCCGTGTGCTTCACGCCACAATGAGTTGTCTACGGCTGTGTTAGCAAACAACATCTATGGCTGCTAGCAAGAATAATAGTAGCACATCTGTAGATACAGCAGTATTTAGGGGTGGTGTTAAGCAAGCAGAATGCTGAGGAGCTGACACCCACTCTGTCTGCATTTCGGGGAAGGCGGTGGTTACTGTGGATTAGCTCTAGCTGTGCCCTGTGCTGCCTGTTTGCAGCTGCAGTATCCTAGAAGTGCTCCAGAAGCACATCTTCAAGTTTAGCTTTGTCCAAAAAGAATGCATTTCATGAACTTCAGTGTGAATCAAAGCACAGAAACTGCAAATGACAGAGCATCTCTTCAAAAGCATGCTCCTGAGCTGAACTGAAACACTAGTGTAGATGTGCCTGTATTGCCTGGCTAACAAGAGGGTCCAGCCCTGTTGCTCCTATCACAGGCAATGTCTGGAGACCTTTGCTGCATACGATTTGGGGAAAATGCACAGATCACTAGCAGCAGCAGTATTACAGTTTGGGAATTTTATTTAAAAGAACTCTATGGTCTGCTAAGATACGGGGCACCGAACAGCTAAGAATTTCATGTAGACAGCTTTCCAAGAATAACTATCAACAGAGAATTCTCATCTAAAGGATTTCTGTGAGCAATATTTGATGTCTTTTATTAAAGTTGTGGAATAAAAGTAAATAAAAATAGTTGCTAATAATTGCATATGGCACAAAATACCACATTATGAGGACGAGTCACCTTGAAGAAATATAGTGATCCATTTGAAAAGCTGTAGAAGAGAGCTGTAAGAGTAAGTCTCAAGATCTTAAAACCAAAAGACATTTCAGCAACAGACAGAACTGGTCTATTTAGCTCATTAAGGAGAATTTAAAAAGCATCCTCATTAAGGTCTGTAGATGATTAAATGTTGAGACACTAGAGGTGAGGAAAAAAAACCCTGAATCTAAAGCTGCACAAACTCAGACAATAGGTGAGATGCAGACTTTGTCACTGGCAGGGCTTAATCATTGGGACAGTTTGCTGTGCATTATAGAGGAATTTCTGTGGCTTGAAATCTGGAAAATGTGCTGTATCTGCACCAGAAACACTGGGCTCTTTTCAGGACTCGCAGGTGGAGGTTTCTGACCTGGTACTGCAGCAGGTTGGACTATGTTATCTAAGTGGTACTATCTGAACATAGTATCTGTGAAACCTGCACACAAGTTTCTTACCGTTACAACCTTAGTAGCAAATATGATGGCTTTCTCTGGTGACTTCTTTGTCACTAGCTGTGATAAGTTTCACTGACCCAGTCACCCTTCCAGGATGTGTTAAGCACTCATTCATTATAGGAACCCTTTGAAAATGTAATATTTAAGAGCTAAGTTGACATGGGGACTTGGGCACCTAGCCATCGTTTTAGGCAGCATTGTTCAAAATGTTTATCTGCAAAAGTCCTCTTCCAGTCCCACCGGTGCGCAGCCTCCATGAATGTCTAAATCCTGGTTGTAAATTCCCTTCTGTGGGTATGGACAAGGCAATCACCCACAACAGGGTAACTTTCTTTCAGTCAGTGAGAATGAGCCTCGTCCAGTACAAGTGTTCCACAATACCAGCTGGTGTGAAGCACATCAGCAGTGCTGGTGAACCCTACAACAGTGAAACTGGTATAGCAGCCGTGAAAGTCAGCCCGCATTCTGCCCACTGGTGGAGGCTTGTCCTGCGATCTCTACATAACCCCTTCAAAAGAACTGTTCAGAAAGAGACTGAAACCATAATCCATGCAAATAAACAATCAAATCCCATTTGATTACATCAGATATAAAACTTGTCGAAATCTCATGCTTCTAGTACCCTTCTGCTTGTTGCCATATTAACTTGTGGCCTTCTCTGAGGAGCAACAAGGAGTCTATGACTCCCTTAGTTAGATTTGGTCCAGATTTTATCACTAACTGTTAATGAAATCATCCTCTGGCAGAGTCAGTTTAAAAAGTAGACCTCTGCCCCAAGTCTAAGTCACTTGGCAGATCCCAAAGCTGAACTGGGTAAGGATTGAAGGGGAGAGCTGTGCTTGTGGGGGGCAGCTTTGAATGAGAGCACGGTCCCTTGTCACGGCTGTTCATCAGAGCTCCCACAGTGTTCTGAAAGCGCAGACTGGAGCCCTAAGCAACGACAAGCCTTTGAACAAATTAAACAGGAGGTTGCTCATGCAGTAGCCCTCGGGCCTCTCTGAGCAGGACAAGACGTTATGAGTGTGCTCTACACCGCAGCCGGGGAGAATGGCCCAACCTGGAGTCTCTGGCAGAAAGCAACTGTGGAGACCTGAGGTCGACCCCCAGGGTTTTGGAGTTGGGGATATCAAGGATCCAAGGCCTGCTATACTCCAGCTGAAAAAGAGATGTTAGAGGGACGGAGCTTTGGGCTCCATCTGCCCTAACAGCCTTTCTAGGCAGGAGGGACGGTGCAAAGCCCACTCGGCCGGTAGAGCCTGGACGCTTAATCTCAGTGCTGTGGGTTCAAGGCCCTTGGTGGTGGTTTAACCCCAGCTGGCAACTAGGCACCACGCAGCCGCTCGCTCACTGCTGCCCCCGCAGTGGGATGGGGAAGGGAATCAGAAGGGAAAAAAAGAGTAAAACTCATAGGTTGAGATAAGAACAGTTTAATAATTATGATATATAACATAACATAATGTAACAACATAACAAATATAGCAGAGAGAGAGAGAAATAAAACCCAAGAAAGGACAAGTGATGCACAGTGCAGTTGCTCACCACCTGCTGACTGATGCCCAGCCAGTCCCTGAGCACCGACTGGCCCCCCAGCCAGCTCCCCCCAGTTATATAGTGGGCATGACGTCCTGTGGTGTGGAATATCCCTTTGGCCAGTTTGGGGCAGCTGTCCTGGCCATGCTCCCTCCCAGCTTCTTGTGCACCTCTCGCTGGCAGAGCGTGGGAAACTGAAAAGTCCTTGACTTCAGATAAGTGCTACGTGGCAACAACTAAAACATCTGCGTATTATCAACATTATTCTCGTACTAAATCCAAAACACAGCACTGTACCAGCTACTAGGAAGAAAATTGACTGTTTGAGCCAAAACCAAGACATGAAGTAATTGCTTTCTAATTTCTAAATTCCCCTGCAGTTCCCCTTAGATTGTAGCATTGGTTTTTCACATCCTAACTATTTTCTGGTTTTGCTTAGGTTTTTGGTTTTGTTTTATAGTCTACTAAACATTTCTATTCAAGGGTTATTACCTTTCATTTCAGTTGGGAACATGATTGGTGTGGGTCCTCCTTCCTTTTAGCTCTAGCCTCCTTGGGAAGACCTACAACAACACACGAGCTGTTCTTCAGTTCTTATTGCTCATCTGGTTTGGGACACCTTTCCCGTGTGGATGCGTCTCATTCTGCTCCCCATTTCTAGGGAATGAGCTCTGCGTAAGGAGTGTGTAAATTCCTCACCATGCTATTCATCCAGCCTGTTGCCTTTTAAAACCTACAAGGGAAGCATAGAAAATCCAAGTCTACTTTGCTAAACATTTTTCTTTTCACTTCTAGGTCCTCCTGTCGAGCCCCTGGAGCCAACCAGGCCTTTACCGACTCTTCCTGTTCGCAGAATTCACTCCACTTCGGAGAGAAAACACGAGAGACAGCCACGACCTCCTAGTCCTCCTCTGGGTGACAGGCCATCTCCTCCTGGCACAAAACCGAACATCTGTGATGGCAACTTTAATACCGTGGCTCTCTTTAGAGGAGAAATGTTTGTTTTCAAGGTACTAAGAATTCCTGCTTACCCGTGAGTCTTTCTTTGGCTTTTATTGCTCGAAAAGATTAATAGAAGTATAAGGTAGTGAAATTTGAAATATCGGAGAAAATAGGCCTGTTCCTCTCAGGCTGATGAATGAGAACTATTAGAAGGCAATGTAAGGAGATTTGCTCTGTAATATTTGGAAACAGTGCCTGGTGGGATTCACAAAATCCCCAGGCAGCCTGTGCACCAAAATTTGAACAGGATGCTCTGGCAGAGAATGTGGACACCATCAAGCTCAGAGAGGAGCGACCTGTAAAGCCAGAAAGCAGTATCTGTACCTAACCAGGGATTAAGCCTTGTTGCCTCCAGAGATGGCATGCATCGAACCCTGGGCTTCAGGAAGCACTCAGCCTCACCGGAGCTCTTGGGGAGTCTGAGTCAGCCTTGCCTGTAAACTACAGCCAGGGAAGAAGGAGAGGCTTTGCTCAAACACCCACGTTAGAATGCCTTGAGTGTGGAAATCTATGGTCCCATTCCCAAAACCCCATACTTTCACTTTGCCCGATGGATGTGAATGAGGAGAGGGATATAGTGAAGGTCATTAAAAGGACAAACCACATCAGCTGCAGAAAATGGCAGGACTGAGAATAGTTGTATCTGGGAGGTGTCTCACAGGCTCTGTCCTGCTCTTACTCATCCCTGAGCATCCGCTGCAGCTTTAACTAATGATCTCATCTCTAAAGAGATATTTAATTACTCCTTTGTGCCTTTGGCCGTTCCTTGCTTCACACAGTCACCCGGTAGTGCTAAGGCCGTGTGGCTCTCCTGGGGCCTGATAGTTGAGCAGCAGTTGTACCAGGACAAGTGTGACACCTCAGTGACAAGACACGCGGAGAGGTCACTCACAAATGAGTTCATAACGCTTATAACTGTGGCCTTGCTTCCCCCTGCTCCTTTTTCCTCTCCTTCTTTCCACCCTTTTTCGCAGCACCAGCAATCAACTTCTCATCCTTTTGCCTGCCGTCTTCCCCATGAAGCGCTTCCCTCACTGGAGACAGTGTTGGGCTGGGTTGGAGCTGTCATCTGAACCAGGACTTCTGTCTTTTATGGTTACGGGGCCTAGGCAGGGATTAGTAATGCTTGATGCTGGATGCCCAGCCTGATTTGACTGCGAGATAAAAATACTCAGTCTGAAGACGCTTCTGGTTTTCTCAGGATCGCTGGTTCTGGCGGCTGCGCAACAACCGAGTGCAGGAGGGATATCCCATGCAAATCGAGCAGTTCTGGAAAGGCCTCCCTGCAAAGATTGATGCAGCCTACGAGCGGTCTGATGGAAAATTCGTTTTCTTCAAAGGTACAGTACATTTCAGTACAAGCCTGCCATGCCTGCCTCACGTCACACTCTTCTTTTATGGCGTGAAGGTGGTGAAAATAGGTACACTGCATCCTTGTCCTTTTCCAAGGGGACACTTCAGGCAGCCACTAATCCTTAAAATGTAGCTTAGTGTGGTCTGGCCCTGCCAGGACGTTCTCTGTATAAAGCTAATATTGATCGGTGGAAGTTGGTTTCCATGTGATACCAAGAGATAGCTCCTGTTTCCCAGGGAGCATCAGTCTCCTTTCGGCAGGGCATTAGGGCCTCTCCAGGTATAGGGAGAGGCCCTAACTTCTGGACAATTGTCTCCTAAAGAGACAAAATGACCAGCCTTATGCTGGGACCCACGTTAGCTCCTTGCACTGGGACAGTGTCTGAACAGGCTCCTGTAACTTGAGAGCAAGTTGTAAGCAAGGAAGAGTGGCTGGAAAACATGGGCATGTCCCAGTACAAAACCGCAGTACCTGGTCTTCTGAATTTATGTCTGCAGCTGCAGCCCCTCAGCTCAATAAATGGTATTAAAACTTGAGAAGGCTCAGAGAAAGGCCACAGAAGTGATCAAAGAGTATGGGCTGACCTGCAAGGAACTCCTCAGCCCAAATGAGGGATGACAAAGACAGGGTATGAGAGAAGTCTTTGAAATCATGACTGGCCTAGAGAAGGTAAATGGGAAAGGGTTGTTCCAAAACAAGAGCTGAGGAGCAGCAAATGAAATCAGGAGGTTTCAGGTTCAAAATTAAAAGGAGGAGCAGCTTTTTCTCATCATACGGTTGAGCCTGGAAGTTCTCAACATGTTGTTGTTCATTGTGGCTATTTTACGTTTATATTGATTCAACTGCTAACGACGCAAATCTGTTTGTTGTTTGTGTCCCCATTCATCTCTAGGTGATAAATACTGGGTTTTTAAAGAAGTGACAGCAGAACCAGGCTACCCACACAGTCTGGTGGAGCTGGGGAGCTGTCTGCCCCGGGAAGGCATCGACACGGCTCTGCGCTGGGAGCCAGTAGGCAAAACCTACTTCTTCAAAGGCGACAGGTACTGGAGGTACAACGAGGACAAGAGAGCAACGGACCCAGGATACCCAAAGCCCATCACCGTGTGGAGAGGAATCCCTCAGGCTCCACAGGGAGCTTTTATCAGCAAGGAAGGCTGTATGTATCTGCAGTCATTGTGCCTTTTAGATCGGTGATAGCTTGTCTGCCTTGGGAGTTGGGTTGTTGCATATGGGGTGTTCCCAGTATTTCCTGCGGTACCAATCAAGTCTCAGAAGGGTCACACTGGTACCTGTGAGCACTGGCAGTCTGAGATCCCTCCTGACCCCCATCCCAACCCATGTACCGCCTCAGCTGCTAAAACACGATATCATAACGCCAGCTCCCATGGGGGATGGGAAGGGGACTTTTTGTGGTTATGCTGCCACAACAGCCCCTACCCGAGTTTTCCTGGGCCCTGATTGCGAGGATGCTGTAACTTACATTTTTCTCCTAGTTTCTTACCTGTAGCTAGCTTGGTCACTGTGTGACAGGCTCCAACCTGCCTGATGTACTTTGAAGTTAGCCATGCCCCGAGCAGGGGGTTGGACCTCCAGAGGCTCCTTCTGACACATTTCTTTCTCCAATTTGAAGATTTCTTCTGATTCTTCCAGTTGGGGAAAGAACTAACAGAAGGGGCTTGTGCCCTTGAGGCTGTGTTTAAATTTGGGTGTGCAGTGTGAACTGAGGGCTGTAGGGCTGGGCTAGACTGGAGGACTGCAGCGAGAGGCAGCCGAGCTGGAGGACAGCTGCAGGAGACTTGCTTTCACCAGTGTTCCCTCCTCCTCCTTTTCTCCTTTTTTTTTTTTTTCCTAATCACTTGAGAGTGATTAGAAAAGGAATGATCTGGGGAGATGAGGGGTTCTTCAGACAACATGTAGCATAAATCTTCAGCCTTTTATTAGCAGCAGAACAAGACTGCTTCTTGCAAAGGCCGAATCTTCTGGATTCTATGGCCGAAAGGACTCATTCAGCATCTGCTCCCTCAGGCTGGGTGAACAGAAATCTTAAGTATTCTTCCAAACACTATCTCACCCAGGCACACGCTGTCATTCTGCAGATTACGTTAATTGCTTGGTAATGATGAGCACATATTTACAGGTGCTTTAGTAACAAATAACTCACTGCAGAACACTTACTTTAGCTAGTTTTTATTTTTATTCACCACTTGTCTTGGCCAAGGGGAATGGTGCTCTGTGGGTAACATTGCACCACAAGCCAGGGTTACAGCTTCTCCTTTAAATCCTCGCTCCAAAACCACCTTCACTTTTCAATGGTTTTGGGATGCCCTGGATGAATGTGTCTTACTGGCCCAGGCAGCTACCACCTCCAGCCTTTCAGGCTCTCTGCACAGCCTCACACAAGCACAGATTATCAAGTTGGAAATGGTGTGGTGAGAAATGCTCTCTGTTTTGTCTCCTAGTCTATACCTACTTTTACAAAGGGAAGGAGTACTGGAAGTTCGATAACCAGAGGCTGAGCGTGGAGCCAGGCTACCCCAGGTCAATCCTCAAAGACTGGATGGGCTGTAACCAGAAGGATGTTGAACGAAGCAAAGACAGGCGCCTCCCCCACGATGATGTGGATATTATGGTGACAATAAACGATGTGCCTAGCACTGTAAATGCAATCGCAGTTGTGATCCCTTGCATTTTGTCTCTGTGTATCCTTGTCTTGGTATACACGATCTTCCAGTTTAAAAACAAAGAGGTGCAGCAAAATGTTGTGTATTACAAAAGACCTGTCCAGGAATGGGTATGACACAGCCCGCTGCACATTGCAACTCATTGATCTGATGAGGACTATGGACACACAAAAAAAAAAAAAAAAAAGAAAAAAAAAGCATTCAGAAGCCTACCAAACAAAACTACTTCAGTGACCTACAAGTTTTGGACAGCCTGGGACTGAAAGAAGCAGGAAAACTGGAAAAAAATACAGGCAGCCTTGCAGTGTGGAGCCTCTTTCCTTCTAACTGCCTCAGTCACGTTTCAGTCTTGGTGTGCCATCCTCCACAGGCTCACTCTGCTAACATCAGAGTCTTCAAGACAGGTTTCAACTGACCTGGGAAACTTCCTTCAGTTCCCTGCACCAGTGCTCCCTGTTAAACCCAGCATTCTCCAGTGTAGCTAAACCACCTCTGAACAGAACCATTTTTTTAATAGCTGTCTCATAACTGAATTAAGATAATGAAATCTATGAACAGGAACAATTCAGTATCGTAAGCAGAAGACATTCTGATGCTGAACCATTCTAAAAGATCTTCTTAGTTTATTACAAAATCCAGGGAATTACCTGGATACAATTTTCCAATACCTGCTGGTCAGATGTTTTGTACATTCATAACTAATCAATGCTGCCACTCAGCACAGTGCATGAGGAACCACTAAGCACTCACAGAGGTACCTGAGTGCAGAGCAGAAGCTCGAGAAGCACCAAACCAGACACCATAATGGCAACATCAATCCCTAGATTGGGACAATCTGAAGACAAAGTAATTGAGTCTAAAAAAACCAACCATGGGAATACATGTTTTTGTTTGGGGAGCCATTCATGAAAGAAATATTTAAATGTCATATGATGTTGTTTTAAGCTCCCATCAGCAAGAAACAATGAACCAACAGTTACCGATATACTGAAAAATATGTATAGACGTAGACTGCACTCTGCCCGTTAAGATGCTGGGAAAAGATGAATTGTTGTTATGTGGCATGTGTAACTAGATTGTGGAATTTGTATGTTGGGTTTCAGGAGAGTGGAAATGTTTGTTTGGAGTGAGATCGTCATTATATTTTGCTGAAATAGTCAAGATACAGTAAGAATTAGGCCTGTTTATAAAACTAAATCCAGTCCCTGTAGATGTTACAAACATTGTATGCCTTTGAAATTTGTTTTTTTGCTCGCTTCTTCACAGGCAAATACTTGGCAAGCACCAAAGGAAGCACGCCACCCAGCAGAACGAGTTCATCACTAGCCACATCTGGCAGACATCAAAATCAGGTAAAGGCTAGGTGAATATCTGAACTTTTGGCTAGCAACTTCTCACAAATCTCTTCTACAACAGTAGCTTCTGCTTATCCCTCTTACAGTTGTGAATGGTTTAGGATGTTATGGCCTAACCACAAACTTAGTCCATTTTGTGGTCGATGCTGACATCTCTACCATGTTAAATAAGAGAGGAAGAAGAGTTTCTTGCAGTGCAATGTAACGGTGAAGTCCAGCCCTGTCCAGAAGTGCCATTCATGTAAGCACATGAACTGCTCTGCACGCTCGCTGTAAGGAACAGGTGATTAGCGTAAGCCTCTGCCTATAACTGAATTTTACTCAGTGCAATGGAAGTGCAACGCACAGGATGCCCACTTAGCGTAGAAGCACAGTTCTATCACGTCAGCCATGAAAAAAAATCTGAGGATGACAGACATGCTAAAAATATTCCCAATTACAACGATGAGGAATGAAAGCAGCAGAAAGACTGTTAGCATTCTGAATTTCTGACTAGTGCTCAAATATTGCTGTGGTGATGCAGGATAGACAAATAGACACTGCTAGTGAAGCCCACTAGGACTGCATAACGTGTGGTCTCAAACTGTATTTTGTCCTTCATAACTGATTTCCATAGCCAAGCTGTTTATTGTGTTTAAACAAAGCAAAAAATGTTACAACCATATTACAAAATAAGTGAGAAGCTAGTAGATGCAAAACTGAATCTTAGTGAGAAAATGTGATAATGTCTCATGATGGGTGAAGGAGTGCAAAGGCCCAAACAAAATCGGAGCTACCAATTAGACACCTCCCCCCCCCCCCGCTACTCCGTCCGTTGCTATGTGTACTGTATATGTGGTAGAATGCACACTATGAACGCCACAGCCACATGGCACATCGACCTCATCTGTACGCTACCATCTCTTCTGGGCCTGTGACAGCCCAAACCTTTGAGCAACTTCCAACAGCCATCATTAAAAAAAAAAAAAAAAAAAAAATTACAACCTAGAGAACTGTCTGGTTTTGTTTGTATTGTCCCTCCTGCTCAAAGGGAGCTTTTTGGTCTGTTCAAAACCCTGCCCGGGTCACAGGCAGCGGTGCCGGGGGCTGCAGCAAGCTGAGCCATTTCCTTAAGACAGCTGCAGAGCCAGGCCCCCCCGCTGCAGTAGGGCACACTGCCTGCCCTGCAGTGCCAAAATCCAGCCTTCCTCAAAGAACTGCTGCCTCAGAGAACTGGAGGAATAGTTTGGTGCCTTTTCTAGCTGCTTTGTAACTGGCTCCTGGTGCAGATACTACGTTTGAGCTTTCCAGGGGTGTGAGGTTTTTGTGTAGGTGTTTAGGGGCTGAGAAAGAGCTCTCTGCACTTACCAGTGCTGTCACTGGTGGGGCTGGGGCAGGTAGGGGAGCAGTTGACCCACTTCCCCCGAGTACAATCCCATTCACGCTGTTACCATCTCTCTTTTGTTAAGATGAGCACCTGGGCAGTCCTGGGGTGACCTGGATCCGGGCACAAACATCAGTAGTTGTGGAAGGGATAGTTCCTTGCTGTTCCCACGCCTGAGCTCTTTGCTGGGATCCTGTATTACACTACAGAACCACAGCACCTGATCGGCGCAGTATCGACTCGCTCTGCCTCCCATCAGCACGGCCAAAGCGTCTGCATGGACAGGTGGCCACGTTCCAGTGCCTGTCCAGAAATGCAGCCTCAGGACATATTGCCACCACAGGGGTGCAGGGGACAGCAGTGCTTACTCAACTCCAGGCCCCCAAGCAAGAGGCTCTTCTAGGTCTGCTCCTGGTGTGAGACACACCACCCTGCAGTGCCGGCCGTTTGGGCAGCCAGACGGGAGTCCTGGCACAGGTCTACCCTGAGCGCAGCAGTGGCAGCCCCTCTGGTAAGCAGCTCACTACGTACACGATACTGCACTCAACGGTCTACTTTGGGATTGTTCTTTCAGTTTTTGACCACTTCAAATAAATACATCACCAGTAAAGCAGGTTGTTTTCCCAGGTAAATTAGAAATGTGCTAGGATACACAATCACTGCAGTCAGAAGAGAGGTGAGGATTAGTTGTTCCTAACTTATAATCAGTCATTAAAGCTCAAGGGGATGTCACACCACGAGGACCTAGGTTTTTAAAAACCTCTGTGAAGGATCCTGACAAAAGGTTTTGGACATTAAAGCACTGTGGCAGCCAAAGCTATACACCCTATGGCTTCCTCACTGAACCTTAGAACCACGGAATGGTTTGGGCTGGAAGGGACCTTTACAGGCCATCTAGTCCAGTCCCCCTGCAATGAGCCAGGGGCATCTCCTGCTACATCAGGCTGCTCAGAGCCCTGTCCAGCCTGACCTTGAGTGTTCCCAGGGATGGGGGCTCTACCACCGCTCTGGGCAGCCTGTGCCTGTGTCTCACCACCCTCATTGTAAAAAAACTTCTTCCTAATATCTGATGTAAATCTGCAATCTTTCAGTTTAAAACCGTTACCCCTTGTCCTATCACTCCCCTCCCTGATCAAGAGTCCCTCCCCACCTCTCCTGCAGCCACGTTTCAGCCCTGAGAGGCCGCTGTAAGGTCTCCCCGGAGCCTTCTCTGCTCCAGGCTGAACAACCCCAGCTCTCCCAGCCTGTCCTCACAGGGGAGCTGCTCCAGCCCCCTGAGCATCTTCATGACCCTCCTCTGGACCCACTCGAGTAGGTCCATGTCTGTCTTGTGCTGAGTTGTGAGACATTCGTTCCTCCCTTAAAACCTCTGGACAAACTCTTCTCCATCCTGTCACATTCACTGTTTGCTTTTTTGACTGTAACTGAGGACTGAGCATGTTCAAATACGCACCCTCAGGCCAAGAACTTGCTCTTGTGCTGCTCAGAGTTCATCACTACAGATGTGGAGTTTGGATTCTGAACCACAGCGTGCTTCACTTTGTGTTCAGCTGCACTGAACTTACCTTTCTATCAACCCATCACTCAGTCCTCATCCTTACTAGTCGGAGTAAGTCCACATGGGGAAACTCCCCGCACTAATCCACTGCCTTTCCTGCGGAGGACACAGTAATGCTGAACATCGTGGCTCCCAGTGGAGCTCCCTGTGAAACTCCTGGGAAATCTAACCTTTTACTCTGACTTTTTCCCCCATGCTCAAGCATGTAGAAGGGCTTCCCTCTCATTCCATGGGATCACTCACCCAGGGTCCTTAAAAGCCTTTGGCACAAAAACCTGTCAAATGCCTTTTAGAAATGGGAGTATTACAACAGACCTTCTCCATATCCCTGTGGACTCCTTTAAAGAACTACACAGGTCTTGTCAGACATGACTTGCCATTAAACACCAAGTTTACCTCATGGTATCATGTATCCATGTTTCTCCTAACCCCATTCTCTATTATAGCTTCTGTTTTCCTTGTACATAGGTCCCTCTTGCTCGTTCAGAATTCCCACAAACCCCTGTTCGGAACGGGTAGCACGTTTGCCACCTTCCAGCTCCCAAGCTTCAGTGCAACTTTTGTAAGTGGTCACAGAGCAGAGTGAACAATCCCCTGTTGTGCTGTCTCTGATCCTCTCTGGCATATCACAACCCCCAGCGCTGCACCAGTGTCTCTCCTGTTTAAGGATCTGGATCACACAGACTGGATTGTTTTTCTTGTTTGCCTCTAAGCAATTTTTAACGCATGACACACGTCAAGGTCACAGATACAAACCAGGATTCCTTCCTATCGACTGGAATGAAAAAAAACGAGTTACAGAAGTTGCAGAGGGAAATTTCCCTCACTTTCCCTGTGAGGTGGCCAAAGGAAAGCAGCTTCTCACTCTCAAGAGACATGCCAAGAGGAGGAGACCTGGAGTCAGTGCCAAG